CTGCCCCTTCTTTCCTATCAAATATCTATTGGCCTTATTTCTTCCCCTTTTCGTGTTCTCTTGTAACACTTTAAATTGTCAGCACTTTTACGACCTAATTGTGTTGCAAGTGCATAATATTCTTACTAAAATAATTAAAAACGAACAGAACCTCCCAATATAGTACAAGTATGAAACAAACATATTTAATAAAATCAGCAAGCTGTTAACCTTTTCTAAGCCTAGAAAGCACATTTCTTTCAGTAGAAAGGAAAAAAGCCCTGATTAATTCTTTTAAAGACTGCAGGCCAACCTAAATTATGTACCATTCCTTCCTTTAAAGAAAAACCAACAGAATTTAAATTTCGACACAAATTGTTTCTCCAGCACATGCAACCTATATTACATCTGTACGTCGTGTTTTACTATCGTATCCATATGGCGTGTGGAACTCTGTGCCATCACTTAACCCTATCCGTACGTCGTGTTTTACTATCGCATCCATACGACGTGTGGATCTCTACGCCACCACTTAACCCTAACCGTACGTCGTGTTTTACTATCGTATCCATACGACGTGTGGAACTCTGTGCCACCACTTAACACTATCCGTACGTCGTGTTTTACTATCGTATCCATACGACGTGGGGAACTCTGTGCCACCACTTACCCTATCCGTACGTCTTGTTTTACTGTCGTATCCATACGATGTGGGGAACTCAGTGCAACCACTTTCCAAAGAGGAAATTTACTCGTTCATCCGATCCGTTCACTTTGCATAGCAGTCTGTCAAAATGATTTTTTGAGAAATTCTTGAAAGTTTCAAAGAGATCTTCACACTAGAAGTATTCTGAAATACAACCCCGGGGGTACAAGATGACAAAAGGGCGTACGGATAGGGTTAATTTTTAAAAAAGATAACAGTTGTTCTTAGTACATTTTTACAGCTGGCCACCGAAAAACTCAAATAACATGCACCCATTTTTATCAACGAGAGGTCTCAAGACAGTTTTCAGGGATATTATCTGGAATTTCTCTTGCATTTTTTAGAACATTACTCACAACCCTATTTGCAGAAGAAGAATCAATGTCTTCACTTTCAGTTTGATCTCTCTCGTGGGTCATTGAACTTTGAATATCATGGGTTCCCTCTTTCTATGTCTCTCTGTTTCCATGTCAATCTCCTTCTCCCTCCAACTGCTATACCCCCCCCCCTCTCTCTCTCTTCATTTCTCTTTCCATCTCTCTATCTCTCTCTCTCTCTCTCTCTCTCTCTCTCAATCTCTCTCGCTATCTCTCTCTCTCTCTCTCTCTCTCTCTCTCTCTCTCTCTCTCTCTCTCTCTCTCTCTCTCTGTCTCTGTCTCTTTCTCACCCCTCTCCTCTGGCTTTTCTTCTCTTGAGACAAACAAACGAACAAACAAACGCTCAAATAACCAGAAAGAAAAAAAAAAACGAAAGTAGTGTGACAGAAATCGTTCACACATTTTTGCACATGTTTATGATTCCTTCACATTCCTGCGGACACGAGAAGCCTGTATAGTGTAGGTGCGGACAGGACAGGATAGGAATTATACGTTCTCAGAGAGAAGATCTGACTGTCGCCATACACAGAAATCATAACGACAGCTCTCCATCCTTTCCTTCTGACATGACATGATAAGCCAGTCTGTCGTTGTCGTTGTCGTTGTCGTTGTCGTTGTCGTCATGAGATGTCCCGTTGGCATGATCATGATGCAAGCCCAACTTGAAAAATAAGACGAGGTGGAGAATGTTCTCGAAGACAGGACGTAAAAAGTGAATGTTTTGTCATGATTTTAATTTGTTCTGCTGTTTTGGGGGAATCTTGTGGAAGCTGTTTGGTTTTAGTTTAGGGTTAGGATTAGGGTTAGGGTTAGGGTTAGGCTCAGGCTTAGGCTTAAGCTTCTGGTAAGGGTAAGGGTTTAGGCTTAGGGTAAAGGTTAGGGTTAGAAGCTTGTATACGATGTGGAAGATAGAAGTTCGAAACTCCGAATGGACCACAATCTTTGATATCATGGTCATCCACCTACAATCCTTTCTCCGCCCTTTTCACCTGTTCTTCATTTCGTTCTCCTCCTCTCCCGTGTCACATGCGACGAGCACAAACACAATTGCTTATGTGCAAACACACTTAGCGCTCATATGACCTTATGCAGTTGCGAGCACCGTAAAACTCTTACTAAAACAAAACTAAAACACACTTAAAACAAGTAGACACACTCATTCTCTCACTGATTCCCTTTTCCTCCTCTCTCCCCCTCCCCTTCTCCCCTTCTCTCTCTCTCTCTCTCTCTCTCTCTCTCTCTCTCTCTCTCTCTCTCTCTCTTTGTCATACTCTGGTGCCTTGCATTGATCTAATACTATTCCCAGAAACAAAAGATAATGCTATCAAATTAACTCTAGTTACCATGTAGGCATAACTAGAACATCTACCTCGTTAGGGAAAGATGCTTCAAGGTGGTACTAGTGCCAGTCTACTTGGTGGTGTACCTGATTGCCCGTGGTCAACTTCGCTGAGCCGGTGGTTGGAGGATGCCACTGGTGGGGCTTACTTATCTACTTTCCCTCTGTCTGTCTGTCTGTCTGTCTGTCTGTCTGTCTGTCCGTCTGTCTGTCTGTCTGTCTGTCTGTCTGTCTGTCTGTCTGTCTGTCTGTCTGTCTGTCTTTTGCCAGCACTATGTGAGCTCATGAGGCATGGTGCTCTCACCAAAACACATAAATCGGAAACAAGTATTTTTTCCTACCAATTCGGAAATTTGTATTGTTTTTTTCTTTTTGGCTCAACCTCTCTTATGTAATGTTAATATAAACGCATATTTCTAGGTGAGTTTTTCTGAAAAACATTGTTTAAAGGGACAACATATGAATTTTTTTTCTGTTTTCAAGTACTCTTTAGCTATTGGAGTTTCCAAACTTTGGCGGCCATTTTCTCGCTAATTTTACCTCTGAAACCAGGCGACCCCCACCCCCTTCAGACACAAATAACCTGACTCCTATCCAAGATAAATGCATACTTTTTTTTATCGAAAGCAAGACAAATAATGAACAACTTTTAAAATGATACCAATAACTCTATGTGCCCAAAGACTAACGAGCGCCTGATTTCGCTATGTCGTGACACAATGACCATTATTGTGTCGATGTGCTTCAATTTGCTCAAAGAACCAAATAGCTGTGGTGTGCCAATTGGTTGAAGTAAGAGTTACATTTTAAGTTTAGGGTTAAGTTTAGGGTAATGGTTACGGTTACGGTTAGGATTAGGGTTACGGTTTGGGTTAGGGTTAAGTTTAGGGTTAGGGTTAAGTTGAGGGTTAGGGTAAGGGTTAGGGTTAGGGTTAGGGTTAGGGTTAGGGTTAGGGTTAGGGTTAGGGTTAGGGTTTAGGGTTTGGGTTAGGGTTTGTGTTAGGGTTGAGGTTAGTTTTAGGGTTAGGGTTAGTGTTAGGGTGTGGTTTAGGATCAGAGTTATGATTGTAATTAATAGACAGGTAGATCAACAAGGTAGTGGAACAGTATTATTGTCTGACTGGTCCGGCGGTAGAAAGTGAAACAAAACAAAATCATCGCTGTAGACTATCACGCTGACAAGCTCTCACTATCATCTTTAATTTTACCTCCATTCTGCTTGACCTCCCCTGCCCAA